CGAGCGCGTCGAGACCGCGTCCTGAAGTGCTCTGCACGGGCAAGTCACGTCGGCGTCAAAGGAGCGACGTGCGACCTGTCAGAGCTTGATCTCCGATCGCAGCTGCCTCTGCGCGTGCTGGGGAGGTACAAAATTTTCGCCGCCGGAGACGACTCGACGCCGCTGAGATCGGAGATCAAGCTCTGACAGGTCGCACGTCGCTCCTTTGACGCCGACGTGACTTGCCCGTGCAGAGCACATCAGGACACGGTCTCGACGCGCTCGGTACGACGCCTGCGACCCACGTCTCGGGTCAGGTGGCACGACGCATCGCGCCTGCCAGCGCTGCCGTGTAGGTTGCCACGACGAGGTCGAGCACGCTTCTATACGCTCGCCCAGCCTTCATTTCCACCCCATTAGGCAGCCTGGGAACGGTGGCGAGCAGAGGCAAAGCCTACGAGGGGTGGTGAAACCACATGTCACGGCTACTGCCGGCTCGACCCCACGATAGCCTCCGAAGGCTGACTTTGAGGCACCATCATCGGACGATGTCGACGAGTTGGGTCGCTCTTGCGGTAGCCAGGTAGCCCTCCATACTAGTAGCACCAGCCATGGCCTCAGGGAGCGCGGGCGAGGGGGCTGGGAGCAACACGGATCTCCGTTGGACGTTTTCCAGATTAGCGTGTCAGAGTCGGAACTGGAACTAGCCATGTGCACTCACTCTCACACGCGCAGTGAAGTGTCTGTGTGAACTCACAAGGTATAAGTTACTCTATAAAAGGACCAAAAAATAAATGTAAACTTTTTTCCAAAACACACAGACGCACAAGGGGTGGTGCTGGTGCGGAGCAAAGTGGAAGTGCGAAGTGGGGGTTCGCAAGATCTAAGAGGTTCTAAGTGCCCGACTTTATGCCACTTACCAATGAAAGACTAGCCGGGCACACATACGACCGCACACGCGATTTAACATAAGAGGATGCACCTTACTACCTCAATTCACATACGTAGTCGGGGTCCCTCAACCTCAACTCCCCAACGGCGTCGATCGCAGGTGGAACGCCCCGGAGCTGTTTGGCCGTCCACCTCGCAGCGGCAAGTGGGGCCGGTCCGAAGGGCCTCGACCGCGCCAGCAAGTGTGGCGCCGCGGGGCGAGCAGAGCGACGCCAAGCTGCAGCTCCATGGAGAAGTGGTCAGGCGAGCGCCTCGCCTGCGGCGGCAGACGACGCGCCCGCCACGCCTTGCACCAGCCCCGACGCGGCGCCGGCCTAGAGGGCGGAGGGAAGGGAGGGTAATTTGGCCGAGGGGGGTCGCGGGGCGCCACCTTCCCCGCCTGCCAGCGGCTACCCCCCC